GGACAGCCAGGCTGAAGATGACACTCCAAGGATAAGATTTAACCCACGACAAACAACCGCTGACTACAAGCAAAACCCAGCTCTCAGCAGCCCGAGTTAATCCCACGGAAGGCTCAGGCTGTCTTGTTCTCAATTTCATGATAAAAATTAATCTTCCCGCTATCAGTTACATTCATTTTGTCATGACAGGTCACCGACTTCATTTTAATGACTCAAAAAAAAATCCCTGGCCTTATACTGAGCCAAGTCTGGAAGCAGCCAACTTGGGCTGCACTGCGTCTCACACACACACACACACACACACTTGACCAGACAAACCCTCCCAGTTTGGCGGTCTATTTAATGTCCAGAACTTCCAATTTCTCTCTCTAACCTTTCACTGCAGTGCTGCCAGCCGGATATTGACTTATTACTCCCCACATTTATGCTTAACATATCTGTGGGCAGTGATGAGCTTGGAGCCTGGAAGCCAGACTGACTATTTTGATGCTTTAATAAATCAATCATTTAATCTGAGTGTTATCTGACTGACATTACTGCATCTAAAAAGCAATGCTTGTGCTGAACTGGTAATCTGTACAACCCTGAGCTGAGGAATCTGAAAAAGTAGCACACCACCAGTGAGTATGAAATCTCTTTTCCGAACAGCTTCTGAAAACCCAATTAATTTAATTCACAAGCATGTGATGCAGGGAAAAAGTCCCCTTACAAAGCAAACCTTACAGCTACTCGCAAAAATGAGTTTGGTATTTTTATGCATGATAAAGCTACTTCTGGCTGTTCCCTTCTACACAAGGGGTCACATGTTTGGCGCTCTTCCTGATGGACTTCAGAGGGACTTGTGCCCCCCTCTCAGAACCGAACTGGTAATCCACAATACTAGACTCACATACTTGGCTCAGTCACACAGTAAAAACAGGATAGCAACCCTCATGCAGCTACCAAAAAACAGAAAAATAAATAAATCTGCCAATTCAATCTACCAGTTGCAACTTGTAGTCACTAAATGGTTCCCAGAGCCGAAGGTTGTTGCACAGTCACAACCACTTGCAAGGCGATTCCACAGGCGGCCCGATAGGAGGCAACCCTTGTGCAAACACTTGTAGTCTGACCTGGACTGACTGCAATCACTATCAGAGAGATTGTCGAAGGTTATCAAATAACTGCGCGTTTCTAAAGGCCAACGGATTGAAAACATGTTATCATCAGTCAGAATGAGTCTTTGTCAGTGAGAACAACTTGAGGGGATTCGACTAAAGTGGCTGCCAGCTAGTTGTATCCTGCTTATATTTTTCTACAGAACAGGAAGGTTGCTGACAAAAAAAGTGTAACAGTTAAATGTGAATTATACAACTGGTGAATTTCTGTCTATGTAGACTGCAACACATGTGAGATTTTTGAAAATTTACCACAGCAAATTGCCGTATTAACCAAAACAGGTTGGATGCAATTCAACCACAGACTGACTGCAGACTGCAACATTTATGGTAGGTTTTGTTGAGAGTGTCGGCAATCTCATTTTGCAGCTATGGACAAAATAAAGTGAGATAACTTCATATTACTGGATAAAACAGGTGTTGGCAAAGTTTATCTTTAAGGTCATATTATTCAGTTGAAAAAGAAAAGTGATAAATTGCAATTTATGTTACTGCAGTATATCAAAAAATTATTTTAAAAAAAAAATCACAGTAATATTATATCCCAAGTATCTGAAGTGAACCCCACCTCTAGTGGCTACCAGAGAGTCCATACATTAACCCCACTGAGAATCTGGGATGTGCTCGGACGTTATCAGTATAAGAGCTTCTCAGAAACACAACGTGACTCTAGATGGCAATAAATGTTACGACATTCCATAAGCTTATTTTAAATACATTGTTTTGTAGCTTAATGATAACTGAATATTTAAAACTCCAGACTACCCCTGTCATTTATATACACGACAGCACAGTGACACCGTTTCCTCACAGCAAAGAGGTCCTGGGGTCCTGAATTCGATTCCATTACCTGGCCAGGGCAAAAGACTGTGGGAGGAAAGCTAGTGGGTTAGGTTAATTAGTAAATCTAAAATTCCCCATAGGTTTGAATGTGAATGAATGGTTGTCTGTCTCTATCTGTTAGCCCTGCAATAGACTGGCGACGCATCCAGGGTGTAGCCTGCCTTTAGCCCTTCAGTAGCTGGGATGGGCTCCAGCCTCTGCGACCCTGACAAGGATAAGCGGAAGAGAACAGATGAATAATACTACATAAAAGGTGCTGGTCCACTGTTTGCAGCAATCAGCTGCCCCTCCAGTGACACTTCTCCTTGTCCTGTTCAGCAGCCTAGGCGAACAACAGATGAACGGCACTAGCCATCTAGGCTATGCCAGTCTCCTAATGTACTCCAGTTATTGTGAGCCAAATCATCATTTATCTTTATGTAAATGAGGTTAAGTGATTCTTTTGTTCTCTTGCTGACATAGCGCACCTTACCTTACTTTAGGAGAGAGAAGTTGGCCGTTAGTAGCTACACACTGTGTCTGCACCTAGGCAGCCGTACTGTTCCATCTGTGCCACACAGCAGGCTGGCACCTATGTCCTCCACCCACCCTTGGAGTGTCCCAGCCATCAGGCTTTACACCTTTCTTGGCACGAACCCTAATTAGCTCAATCAATGGATGAAAATAAATAAATAAATGAATCCCACCTGAATGCCAACTAATCCCCCCTGATTTTTAAATAAACAAATATTAGGAAATTAAAATTAGCACAGCCAGATATAGCCGAACCACGGCAGCGACCCTTCTGCAAAAAAAATCAGCACAGCTCAGAGCATTTGCATACTGCAGAATAAGCTTGACATTTGGGTGCTTGTAAATCCAATCTTGATTCTTCAAATTGCCAGCTTGTTTAACGTAATGGTTAGCTGCTGATAATTTGAAGCTCTGTGCAGAGGGGGGGAAAAAAAAAACAATAAAAAACAATAAAAAACAATAAGCGCTTAGACAACAACGGACAACGGCACTGATGGTGTGTCTGGTGCTGACTTCCAATCAGCATCCAGTGTTCACACAGCTGAAAAAACAAAACAAAAAACACACATTTTCTTTCTGTCACAAAGTGAGAAAGTTATAGTGCTTGATGAAACATAATTACAAAACTCTTTAAAAGATGACCAAACAAACATTAGTACATGTTTAAAAAGGACACTCAAAGTAAAAACCCAAGGGAGGGTCAGGTTTGTCGGATTGTTAGGAGTATGAATTATTAAGATGTCAGTCGGTTCTTGTTCAAAACATGACACAAGGGGAGGAGGACAATTCAGTATCAATGAACAGCTAACTGTAGATATATATTTTTTTGATGCAAGTCTCCACTTTAATAAGGATACTGTGCATTATAATAAAAAAAAAAACACTCCAATGCGACAGAATTTACAGTTTTACACATTTAAGCTGGCAACAGACGGTTGAAACGGTGCTTTGTTTTGTGTTGGGGGGACAAAAATTGAGAACAGATGCAGACTACTCGTTGCTGCGAGGGCTTTTTAAACTTCTGAATATCAAAGAATGTCTTTGCTTTCTTTCCTGTGACATGCTGCCAAAGACCTGTGCCATTCTTGCTCTGCAACTGTGGAAACGGGTGCCACATTATAGCTTTATACTGAGGCAAAACAGCTCCCACTGCTACTGTGAAATGCAGCACAGTACCATAGATAATATACTGTATCCAAAAGCTCTATGGACTACCCCCCCCCCAAACTTTAATCGGGAAATATGAAGGTTGTAAAAGCAGCTTCTAATGAGTGCAAGACACATGGGACTACTCATTAACAGCGCTAAGGTCAGCCCTTTCAGCAAATTCCAGTCTGAGAAAAGGAGCAAGCTCATCTGAACCACGCAGAACCTCCCACAGCCATAAGCCTTGGCCCTTGGCTTTTAAATGCAATCAAGTTATCAACATAATTGAAGACGCAAGTGTCACCCTGAACTAGATGGAGCACCTGTCCTTGAAAATTAATAAATGGATGCATCAGTTCTGCTGCCTCGTTGAATGCCACACAATATAAGAGAGCAATGAGGGAATGACAGGGCAACCAGGCGGCCGCCTGTGAGCCCATGTGACACTGTTACAAAGCGGAATAATTCTCCATTGTGATGACAGACACGCCAGATCGGATCAGTTGGCTTCCGGGTTACAACCTGCTGTTACGAGAAGCACCGGCTGGAAGCTTGCAAGAGACCCTGGTCATTCAAGATGTAGCGAAACAACAATAAGACATGAGAAAACCAAACTACTTCAATCAATCAAACACATCAATCAAGCACACGAGTAAAATAATCAGGCTGTTAACTATTTTACATTTTCACTGGTTAAAATAAGATAAGATAAGATAACCTTTATTAGTCCCACACGTGGGAAATTTGTTTTGTCACAGCAGGAAGTGGACAGTGCAAAAGTTATGAGGCAAAAAATTAGGATACAGATTTAAAATGCAGATTTATTTATTTTTTTCTCTGCTCTTTCAATCCGAATAAAGTTCCTGCAGCTGAAGACTCAAGGCAGAGCTCACTGCAGCAAGTACACAAACCTACTGTTGGGTAACACACAACTGGACAACTGGTCAAACCAGACTAGTTAGCTAGCTCTTTATCATATTTAAATGTCAAGGTCCCGCAGATGGGCTGCACATTGGGCCACCGAGCCCGTATATACAAGTGTATGTGCCAGGGTCATTTGGGGGGGGGGCATGCTGTGTAATAACGAGCATGAGCCGCTAACGAACCACAGCACGAAATCAAAATTAAAGTTAAAGCTGAGCTGCATTCAAAAACTTAACACCGCTGCGACTGTGCTAACTTTATAAAGCGTAAAGCAAAGCAAGGACATAAATAAATATACGTCGTGTTTAATTAAAAAATAATAATACCTCCCCTCTGTAGGGATTAAATTCTCAGTCTCTCATTTCCATTACAAGCAAGTGTAACCAACGAACAGCAGACAGTAGTTAGCTAGCTTACCACGGGTCGAACTCGTGGATGATGCTCTCGAACCGGATCACCGCAAAAAGTCTGGAGCTGAATCCCGCCAGGCAGGCCAGAAAAAGAATGCTAAACGAGAGTAAAGACTGCCACCCAGCTGGCTGTGTCAGTCCGCCAGACAGGCCTCCTTTGCCCCCTCCTCCACCCGCGGCGCCGGGTCGACTGTTCCCGTGCACCGAGCCACCGGCGTTGGTGGACGCTTTGTGCTTGCCGTCGCTGGCTGCGTGTTGCTCCGCCATTTCTGCGCGCAGTGTCGGCTGGATTTGCTGCTGCCCCGCTCCACGTCTTTCCCCCCGCTCCGTACTGTCGTATACTTCCCTATGCTGTGCCCACTTCTCTCAGGTATCCTATCATCTAACTCCTTCGGGTGTAAGGTATGATTTAATTTGGTATCGCTACTCCGGGAGACCGCTGTTACATCCCGAAACGCACACTCATGCGCCACATACCGAGGCTGCAACCGTCAATCCGCTTCACGATTGAACGCCGGCGGAGAGGGGCGGGAGGGATGCGAGAGGCGGGCTCTAGGACGCTCAGGCGACCTCTCACAGATCGACAGGTACGAAGGGGCGGGATTCTATGTATCTAGACCAATCAGGGAAACGAACGACAGAAAGCTTTACCAATGAAAACGGAGCAAAATTATGGCTGCAACTGATTGAAATAGGGATTATCCTTATTATACTTTCGATAAAGTAAATCCGATAGTAACTATAAATAAAACTTTTATCACTATTTTTTTTTTTACAGTTTTTAAGATAGAGAATAAGTTACAGAATGAGAGCGCACAAGGTTCTTAATCTTGAAGGAAGCGCTTTCGTGTACCTATGGGTATATAAGCAGGTGTGCGAAGATAAATTGTCTGTGCGACTGCAATATTTCTGTTGCCCTTGGATGTTGTGGACTGACGGTAGGGTGATAATACAGATTGATGTATCTCATCATTACTGTGTCCCCCAGCAAAGACAAGAACACAGCATTCATCATTCCCTTAAAATCGGGATGTACTTTCACAACTTGCCCCAAAGCCTTGAAAGACTATATTGAAATGAAACACGTTTTTTAAAAAACATTTCAAATAAATCTTCAAGCTTTTTGTATTTTGTAATTTTTTTTATGATTGATTGTATACATTTATTTTGTACTTGGTGGTTTCAAATAACGATGAGACGGATGTAGGAAGTATTATTGATTTATCTGATGTGTGATCCAGTCCCAAAGGAGAAAAATTATAGTCCAACAGCCCTCTTAGGTGTAATCTGATAGCAAAAAACATTTTGTTTTTTTTCCGAACTCACTGTAGACCAAATAGATTTAACCCTGATAAGGATAAGTGGAAAATGATGGATGGATTGACACCTGTTTTCAATACTTTTGAATTGGGCTGTTTAAACGGATGATGTATATTCTAATAGCATTAGCATCTTCACATCATAATTTTGAATTTATAAGATAGAACAGACAGCTAATACCCTACACTGGTTTGAAAATATCTCAAACTGGCCCAAATTCGCATACTTACTTTGCATCAGCACTGTTTACAGCTACCCTGTCACCTGTGAGACGATCATTTTTGAAAACTCAAATGAAAAATTCATGTAAGAGAACAGGACTGAAGCTTGAGCCGGCTTAATGTGGCTGTGCATTCAGGCTGTCTGGTGGTGAGATGAGAAGGGGATAAGAGGGAGATGAAAAATACAGCTTTGGAGAGATGGGTAGATGGAAAGCTCATAATAAAGGAGAGTAAAAGGATGATTATGAAAATTGATGGGGGTCATCATAGAAAGCAGGTGGAGTGGCAGAAGTGGATAAGAGTTTGGAGTTCAGGAAGAGATCGTAGAGACTGAAAGAGAGACACCATCAGCGTCTGAAGCTGGGATTCAGTGCCTAAATTCATTCACACACAAAGACTAAATGCAGACAGACGGCAGGAGTGTGATACATGTAAACACATGAAATCCCACGCACACATAACCGCATGCATATTGATGAAGCCGTCCTCTTGTAGGCGCACGACAGTGTGCTCATTCACACACATATGCGCCCAGCGTCTCGATCATTCGTTGAGGCCTGCTTATGCCATGAAAAACACTCTAACCCTTCACGCTTTCTATTCTACCTTAAGATTATGAATGGGTGACCTTTGAAAAGAAGAAATGGAGGCTGTGAAGATTTCTTCAATTGCATCTCTTGTCAAAAGGCCAAGCCCAGATGAAAACCAGCCAAAATAAGTGCTGTTGCCAGGCTAGAGCAGCTTTGCCTTCGCCCTCTCTCCAGAGGCAGGCTTGACTGTTTCTGTTTGCTTTGTTTTTATTTTCCTTTTTTTTCTTCTCCCCACAGCATCACAGACTTGCAGAGTTTATGCACAGCATCCTTAGGTGTCTCCAGCTTTTAATTTTGCTAAAGGGCAGTTGTAAAGAAAAACCCCCAACCCTAAACCCTTAAATGCCTGCCATGGGTCAGTGAGTGAGGTGTCATAAATGATTAAGAGGATTATAATAACAGCATGCCAGTTTTTGGTTTTCTGAAAATGTTACAAGTAAATCCTGTAAGGCAGAAATATTTATCATGTCATAGAGGCGGAGTATTGATTAGCCTAAACAATTTGTCTGGAGATACCTATCAATATCACATCTCTGTCTCCTTTTGTGACTCAGTGAAAAGAGAAGAAAACAACTCCTTTATTAGATGTCCCCGATGAGAGCAAAGTTGCTGCCCGCTTTTTAAAAAGTAGCCTCCCATCTAATACATGCATTATATGTGAGGTCCAGTTAGGAGCGAGCCTGGAGTCAAAAACTGACGTCACAAAGCCTGACCAGATTCCTGATACTCTGGGGATTTGATAAGGAAAGAGAGAATTATAGATCGATCTGTTATCTATACCTGCTGCTTCCTATTGAGGGTCATTACTGGAGGCTGGAGCCATTCCCAAGATACAATCGTTTGAAGGAAGGAAAACAACTAGATTGATTACCAATCTTTCTTTCAGGGATAGCAGGACCATACAAATTCATACACCCAGCTTCATGTCTTTCCAAGACTGAATGAAAACTCAACACCAAGTTTTCTTGTTGCTCTGTTTTCTCTCATTTCTTTTCATTTAGCCAACTTGGCACTCCTCTTAACTAATTACCTTGTGCATCATCTATGTGTAAAATGGGTAAATCCATCATGTACATTCCATTTGCTCATTATGAGCAGAAATACAAGATTCAGACATTTCATTCAGGAAGCTTTGAAACTTTACCTGTTAAACTGTAATCCATTATAGCGGGATGATTAGCCAGCACCACTGCACTCTCAGAGCTGCAGTGAATTGAGAGTACTTAAAACAACCACTTACTGTTCCAATAAGGTGCAGCATCCAACTGTTAGGAGCTGTGGCAAGGAGAGAGTTGGGCTGTCTGTTTTAATGCTCTTTAAAAAAGAATTTGATGGTCACCTTAATCGAAAAAAGAAAAAAAACCTGGGTATTGAAGGCTCTCCATGAGTTAAATTACATCTTTAGTCTTTCAAGTGTTAATGAGAAATCAGAGGAGGAGAAATATAGCAGAAGCAATGACCTGAGTCAACTTCTACTTGATGGTGTGTGCTCTGTGACCAAGTGCACGGGGGTTACCGGCATGGCCTCATCAGTGACACACCATTTCACACTGAGCACGCCTCATTTCTCCACAGGGGGCCACGGAGAGGTAGTTAAATGCACCGGATGTGGACACAGCTCCCTCGGTCCCCACTGAACACACTCGGATGATACTCGGCAACTGCACGACACGCTCATCTCGGCACCGATGGGAGGAGTGTTTACATGGCTTTGGCATTACTTGGCTATTCAAATATGTGCCTGTGCACACGCCAGATAAATATGAAATAGTGCAATAAGCTTCTATATTTTGCAACAGAATATAGAACAATCTGTTATCCCAGAGATCAGAGAGCTTTTGCTCAATTTATTATGCTGCATCTGCAGCAAGATGGTATTGTATTCAGCGCGTTCATCTGCCATTTTCCAGTGTGTGTGAAAAGTTTTCTCCCCCCAAGAGGCTGTGAAGCTTCAGAGACAATGGCAAGTCTTTTGTATTTTGCTTACAAAAATACTTGAATTGAATCCATGTAGAAAAACAAAACAATCAATGCAATAATATTTCTTTGTATCTTTATTCATTCAGTGTATCATTTAAGGACTTATAAGCTTTTATTTGTTACAATTACTCCATGAAATGACAAAATAATTAGGCAATTATAAAATATATATAAATATAAAAACCTGTGTGGGTATGCGTAAAGCAGGCTCCACACAAAAATGAGTAAAAGAAGAACAGTCACTCAATTTTTTTTTAACTAAGAATAACTCTGGAAAGCATATCAGCAGAGAAAATTGTCTGAAAACATTCACAGTTCACCACATTCATCAAGATTGATTCTGACTTGTCGACACGGCTGAAAGTGCCTGCAGTGATGCTTCAAATTTTATTGGCATGCTGCATAAAAATCTATATAAGAAAGTTTCAATTGATGGAGCACGAAAAGAGAGAGTAAGATGGAGAAAGAGTAAGAGAGGGAGAGAGAAGCAGATATTGAGAAATAGGGACAACCGAAATACTTACCTGAGCTCAACAGAGATATCAGCTGTCTGCAGGCAGAATGTCAGAGTCTGAGAAGTTGGCTTGCACTACTTTCTCTTCAGAATAACACGCGCCTTATCAACATTTCCCTGACTTTGGTGTGGTTCGTGAAGCCTCCGCATGCTGTCTATTGAGAAGACATGGCGCTCAGATATGAGAAATGTAATGCGTAAGAAACGTCTGGAACCTGGCCTGACATTATCCCAGCAGGAGAGAGAGAGAGAGAGAAATATATGACTCACGTGCTGAAAATTGAAGTACGTCTCCCAATTTCCACAGCTGCCTCTGCTTGACAAATGACCCTTCTTTCACTTTCCTGAGCGGACGACATGAGCTGTCTCAATTCAGAACACAACATATTTATGTGCTACTGCTTCAGTGACATCCCCGACAACCCTCCCGTGGCAAAATTACAATGGTGGCATTCAAAATAAGATGGGCAGATACACAAGCCACCTCGCTGGCATGTTTCTGCTGCGTTCACATGTGAGTTAGACAGAAAAGGTATATATGCTCATCAAAAGCAATAGATTATGATTTTTTGTTGTTGTTGTTTTGCTTAAATTCCAAGAAAGCGTCTGCCTGAATTACTCCTTCTCATGCCAGGACTCTCAAGCCACTGTACCACCAAACACCAAACGTTATAAACAGTATAACGCTTGTGCTCTTTTTGCTTTGTATAATGAGAAAATCTTTTACATTAAAAGCTAGCTCTGGTCTATTTTCTGTCCAAATAGCACTTTACACAGGCTGCTCAATACCAAGTGGCCCCTTGGTCAGGGGTATGCTTCTCTCCGCTGCGCTTATATCCAATCGATCCGTCTCCTGGTTGCCCTCGATCGGTCATCTGACAGCACGCAATTCACACCTTT